CAGTTGTTGCATCTTCATAGTTAATCGGCAGAAGCCCCTAATAAAGCACCGGCGCAAGCCCTTACCTGGAAACCTGCCTCCGAGTCGTCCAACACTTCTCAACAATAGTACGGGTTTTGAGGGTCACGTGTTTCTGCGTGTAGGACGTTCATGGTGTAGCGAACATGGCCATGATGTGTTGATGTGGAGTGCACCATGAACACCAGCTGATGTTGCGGTTTTTAAAATCAGGCTGAATATGTATTTTATAACCTCTTTTCAATATATCGTGAACTAATGTGTGTAATATTTTTTTCTTCGTGTAACTTATATTTTATTTATGTAATGCTACGGTGGCATGAGGTTAACCACCTCGCTTAATATATTGGAGGTCGTCAGTTCGATCCCAACCACGACGCCTGTATATTTGGACTTTGCATGTTCTCCCCGTGGTTGCGTGGATTTTTCTCCTGGTCCTTCGGTTTTTCCCTCCACATTTAGAAACATGCGTTTCCAGTATTTGGCCGCTATAAATTTCCATATGACAAGCCACTTTGCTGAGCAATGATTTGTGGCCAGGCCGCTTCTGAAAAAGAGCTATATAGCTTAGTGGGCCTTTCCTGGTAAAAATAAAAAAAACTATAGCTTAGCTTCGTTCAGTATTACTTGTGAAGTCCTCTGTGTCAATTTTGGGAATAGCGCAATTCTAAATAAAGCTTGATTGATGCCCACGTTACTGCTGGCAGAAGGGGCTCCAATAGAGGCCATCGTGAGAAGCTTTAGTTTTGACTTCCATCCTGGCCAGATTGAGTTGTAGCGGTACAGGAGTACCCCGGTTTACGCCCAGGATGCGTTCCTTAAAACCAGAATGTAAATTGAAAGGACTTAAATCGAAACAACGTGGTGCATTACCTACTATTTCTCATAGTACTAGATAGGTACTACTACTAGGTACTACTACTAGAGATGGAATGGTGAATCGTAACGTGGTACAGGACCTAAATGGAGGATGCTCAGGAACCCATTGCACATTTGTACTGTACAACCATTGATGTGATAAGTAAGTGTACATTATTGATATATTAAGATATCTCATCTTGTCTATTACACTCAATGTGTTATTAGTTGTTCATCATCCATAAAGTAGGTTACACTTGTATAAATATAGCCATGAATACGGTATGTGGGAGAAAAATAAAATGAAAAAACGTGTGTGTAAAGTTCGTAAATGAGGAGTACATCATGACGAGGTACCAAAGTGCATAACACGGGATTTGGTTACAAAAAGCTGAGTACGTTATCGCGAAAGTAGATCAAGCGGGAGGATGTAAAGCTGGTACTGCAGTGTGTATATATATAACATCCTTTGCGAGAGAACACATGCTTTGAATATAAAACCACTGAGAGTATATCGTGTAAAACTAATTTACAGCAAAGGGTATGAACATTGTTATTCTGTACAGCATAAAAAATAAAATAGGGAAGACCTCTTAAAAACAATAAGATTGAGTTAACGACAGAATCGTTCATAGCTCGTATGCGTTTTTATAGAAATGCATATTACCAGCTTGGCTTTACATGACAGCCGAATAAGTTAGCTTTTATCATTTACAAGATAAATGCATGACATAAGCAAAGCATGGGACTACAAATGTAGAAACACTGTTTTTCTCTCATTTGATGTGTATGCCATGGGATATAAAGATATTCTGCAGATCCTACTTATAGGTGACACTGCATACAGATACATTTAGAGAGCTCTGTCTTATAAAATTTCCACTGCAATTTTGCATATCAACATTCTCTCAACACCTAATGTGCATCTTGTATGTATGTATGCGTAGTGACTGACTCAGAGACACTAAGAGCAGAAGGCACTCTGTTTATTAACAGCCTTAACAGTTCACAGAAAGTAACTATAGCTCCCAGTTAAGACAGCTGGCAGACTGCCTGACTGACGACGCTGAGATGGTGAAGACGTAGGCGGCGACGAAGACTCCAGCAGCACGATGAGATCCCGCTCCAAATGACAGCCCCGAGCTCCTGCTCAGGGCCCCCTTTTATCCTCCCAGCGTGGCCTCGTTACGCCCTGGCCACGCCCCCTTTCTAGAACCCACTAGCGGGTTCCCGGGCTTCCCTCACGTGCCTCTTCTGTAACCTTTCCCCTATATCCCTCTCTCTGGTCTGTCACGTGACCTGCTGTCAATCAGGGCTGCTGTAACTGCAGATCCCCTTCACTGCCAGCAACAAGTGCTATGCTGCTAAGGGACGGATTCTATGTCACTACATACAGTGAGGGAAAAAAGTATTTGACCCCCTGCTGATTTTGTACGTTTGCCCACTGACAAAGAAATGCTCAGTCTATAATTTTAATGGTAGGTTTATTTGAACAGTGAGAGACAGAATAACAACAAAAAAATCCAGAAAAACGAATGTAAAAAATGTTATAAATTGATTTGCATTTTAATGAGGGAAATAAGTATTTTACCCCTCTGCAAAACATGACTTAGTACTTGGTGGCAAAACCCTTGTTGGCAATCACAGATATCAGACGTTTCTTGTAGTTGGCCACCAGGTTTGCACACATCTCAGGAGGGATTTTGTCCCACTCCTCTTTGCAGATCTTCTCCAAGTCATTAAGGTTCGAGGCTGACGTTTGGCAACTCGAACCTTCAGCTCCCTCCACAGCTTTTCTATGGGATTAAGGTCTGGAGACTGGCTAGGCCACTCCAGGACATTAATGTGCTTCTTTTTGAGCCACTCCTTTGTTGCCTTGGCCGTGTGTTTTGGGTCATTGTCATGCTGGAATACCCATCCATGACCCATTTTCAATGCCCTGGCTGAGGGAAAGAGGTTCTCACCCAAGATTTGACGGTACATGGCCCCGTCCATTGTCCCTTTGATGCGGTGAAGTTGTCCTGTCCCCTTAGCAGAAAAACACCCCCAAAACATAATGTTTCCACCTCCATGTTTGACGGTGGGGATGGTGTTCCTGGGGTCATAGGCAGCATTCCTCCTCCTCCAAACACGACGAGTTGAGTTGATGCCAAAGAGCTCCATTTTGGTCTCATCTGACCACAACACTTTCACCTAGTTGTCCTCTAAATCATTCAGATGTTCATTGGCAAACTTCAGACGGGCATGTATATGTGCTTTCTTGAGCTGGGGGACCTTGCGGGCGCTGCAGGATTTCAGTCCTTCACGGCGTAGTGTGTTACCAACTGTTTTCTTGGTGACTATGGTCCCAGCTGCCTTGAGATCATTGACAAGATCCTCCCGTGTAGTTCTGGGCTGATTCCTCACCGTTCTCATGATCATTGCAACTCCACGAGGTGAGATCTTGCATGGAGCCCCAGGCCGAGGGAGATTGACAGTTCTTTTGTGTTTCTTCCATTTGCGAATAATCGCACCAACTGTTGTCACCTTCTCACCAAGCTGCTTGGCGATGGTCTTGTAGCCCATTCCAGCCTTGTGTAGGTCTACAATCTTGTCCCTAACATCCTTGGAGAGCTCTTTGGTCTTGGCCATGGTGGAGAGTTTGGAATCTGATTGATTGATTGCTTCTGTGAACAGGTGTCTTTTATACAGGTAACAAGCTGAGATTAGGAGCACTCCCTTTAAGAGTGTGCTCCTAATCTCAGCTCGTTATCTGTATAAAAGACACCTGAGAGCCAGAAATATTTCTGATTGAGAGGGGGTCAAATACTTATTTCCCTCATTAAAATGCAAATCAATTTCTAAAATTTTTACATGCGTTTTTCTGGATTTTGTTGTTGTTATTCTGTCTCTCACTGTTCAAATAAACCTACCATTAAAATAATAGACTGATAATTTCTTTGTCAGTGGGCAAACGTACAAAATCAGCAGGGGATCAAATACTTTTTTCCCTCACTGTATGTCTAGTGACTGTGATTGTCACTGTGTGGTGCTGGGGACCCCCGGGAAGATATGTAAATGGACTAACGGGCGCGGCCCCTCCCGAGAAGAAGACGAAGGAGAGGAAGGAGATGACGGCTGTTTCGCGTCCTCGGTCCATCTGTGAACGGTGCCATCGGTGGGCCCGCGGGTGTCAGGTGCTGGGATCCTGCAGGCTAAAGAACTGAATCCTGCTGAGGCGCACCCTCCACGACCATTCACCCTGGCTTGCCAGACACATCAGACACCCGGCACTCAGGTTGTGGGGATGAAGCGACATCACAAGGTGGAAAATAGGGTTTCAGCCGTGACGGATGCACAAACCAGCACCTGCGACCGACCTGGATACGTACGCACTGCGGCCTCCTGACCTCGATCGCCTCAACCGAGCCCTGCCATGGCCGGTGCAATTTAGGGGACGTGCCCAGGGGCACCTGGGGGCAATGCAACCATGCCTTGTCCCCAGGGGTCCATGGGTTTCAGGATTTACGGAGTCCCACAAGCTTCTCATTGGCGGCTTACCGTTTGGCTGAATTTCCACGAGAAGCCTTCCGCGCTTCCGTCAGCCACCTGATCGTAAGCTGCATGGGCATGGGCACAGTGACCTTTTCTGCCCAGGTCCATGCTTAATTGAGCCTCCATGGGGGGATCACATTCCCTTCCATACATGAGGAAAAAGGGGGAGAACCCCATTGAGGCGTAGGGGGCCATCCTATATGTGGCCAGAACACCCGGAACGTGCAAATCCCAGTCGGACTGTGCCTCGTTAACCTGTTGGCACAGCATGGACGTAAGAGTCCTATGCAAGCACTCTACCATCCCGTCAGTCTGGGGATGGTAGGGCGATGTCCGGGTCTTTTAAGTACCCAGGAAGTCGTACACCATCCTTTAAGAATTTAGAAGAAAAATTACGACCTTGGTCTGTAAAGAGAAGTTCCGGGGCCCCTTTATCCGCAACGTACCAATGTAGGAATGCGTCCATGATGGATGCGGCTGACCGATATGGCAAAGGCCATGCCACCGGCCACCGGGACAGGTACTCCACCCCGACAAGAAGAAATGTATTTCCCCTCTGAGTGGCGGGAAATGGGCCGAGGATGTCGAGAGCAATGAGCTCGTTAATACGGGACACTTCGATGGATTGCAACGGTGGCTGGGCCTGCCTCAGCGGGGGCTTTTGGCGAGCGCACTCAACACAACCTTTGACCATGTGGTATCCTCTGACATTCTGGGCCAAAAGAAGTCGCGCTTCAGGGTTAACAAGGTTTTACACACCCCAAGGTGCATTAACTTCATGTGGATAGCCCGTGTAACTATTCCCCGCAGAGCAGTTGGTACATCAATGCAGTAACGCTGCACTTGCTCATCTCACCTCATCAACAGCCCATCACGAAGGACTATGAGGGACATTCCCGCTGGCACCTTTTTACCACCCCTCGTTCTGACTCGATGCCGTAATTTCAACAAGGAGGCATCCACCTGGAGGCGGCCCCATTCCCTGTGCGTGAGACCAATCGTGTTGTCACAGGGAGTGGTTGCCATGGGTTGTGGAACATCAACCGATGCTACAACAGGGCACGACAATCCTGTAGCCGCAGGTTTACATCGGCCGGCACCCATCAAACATGCACAGCGGTGCTTCGGCGATAACCACGACAATGCATGACAGTGACGTGCACCTTTCCTGTAGGTGACCGTGAAGGAATAATCCTGCAAAATTTCTAACCAGCGGGAGAGCTGGCCGGACAGCTGGTCAACCCGTAATTCATATTGAAGAGCCGCGTGATCCGTGCGCACAACAAATTGCCTACCGTAAACGTATGGTCTGTACTGCTGTACAAAATGCACAATAGCCAACAATTTGCGGCGTGTCACACAATAACGCTGCTCTGCGGGGGACAGCACATGGCTCCCGTAAGCTATGACATTTTTTACTCCATTCACTACCTCTGACAGTACAGCGCCAATTCCGGTGTCGCTGGCGTCTGTATCCAACACAAATGGCAGAGAGAAATCGGGGTACCCAAGGGGAGGCGCGTTGGTGAGGCCATCGCGCAGCACGAGAAACGCAGCATCCTCCTCTTCACCCCTTTAAAATCTCTGGCCCTTTGCGGTTAGGGCTTGAAGCGGTTTGGAGATCGTTGCAAACTTGGGTACGAAGTGCCGATAATATGACGCGAACCCGACAAAACTGTGGACTGCAACTACCGACATGGGGGTCGGCCATGTGCGCACGCACGCAGTTTTGTCGGGATCCGTGGCTATCCCGGACTCGCTGACAATGTGACCCAAATAGCAAACCGATGTCTGCAAGAGATGACACTTTTGTGGCTTGAATTTAAGATTAGCCGCCCGCACCTTGACAAACACTGACCGCAACCGCTGCAGGTGCTCCTAGAACGTGCGCCTGAACACGATTACATCATACAAATAAATTAGGCACGAGTCAAATTGAAGACCTGCCAAAACCAGCTCCATAAGTCGCTGGAACATGGCCGGAGCCAAGTCCCATCGGGAGACAGTTAAATTGGAACAACCCCTGGGGTGTTCAAAATGCTGTTTTAGGTTTGGAACTCTCATCCAGAGGCAATTGCTAAAAACCCATACACATAGTCGAGGGTGGAGAAAAACCGCGCACCCAACAGGGCATCCAAGGAGTCGTCCATCCGTGGGAGCGGGTATGCATCCGCCATGGAGACTTAATTCACATTGCGGAAATCCACACAAAAACGCAAACTTCCATCCTGCTTTTTAACCAGGACAATGGGGAGATGTCGGCGGGCAACATCTCGTCGACCGCCTGGCGAACATGGTCCTTTTCCTTGGGACTGAGCCTGTACGATTTCTGGCATATAGGAGCAGCATTACCCATATCGATGCGGTCCTGCAATAGTGATGTGCGGCCAAAATCATATTTCCCCTGACTAAAAACGTCAGAAAATTCCCAGAGCAATGCACGCAACTCGCCCCGCTGCTCGCCGGACAATTTAGAATTTTCTTTACCGAGTGCATCCATCCAAGCCTCATCTGACTTGCCTCCCCGCTCCACTGTGGCAGCGACCTCTGTGTGGCCATATCGCTGGCCCCCTCACAACACGCGGCCGTCGCGTGGGCCAAAACCGTACTTGCCTGGACAACCGCGACACCCAGTCCAACATTTAACACTTGTAGAAAAGGGTCCTGGTTCCCCCTAACTATCGTCTGGGCCCCCACAAACGCGATACCTCGAACCGCTCTGTTTGAAGGGGTTAAAAGAACCCCTCGCGCGGTGTCTTTGCGATCAAGCTGCTTCCGCAGCCACAAGGATACCAACATCTGAGCACCAGGAGGAACCGTGACAGTCTCCTTCACTAGGGCCTGAACTGTGGTGTTGGCCCTTCTCTATCGAGTCGGGGACTTCAAAAATGCCAATCTCCGCCCTGACGGCAGTTCAATCCACCCTTGATCCACCAAGATCTTAAGGGGCATCCTTCCAAGGAAATCAGTGCCCAATAAGCAGGGCACAGCCAACGTCTTAGAGACTAACACTGGGCATGCGAATTCAATGTCCCCGATTCATACTTTCGCCAATATCTGGCCCATAATACCCAAACTCCCGCCATTAGCGGCGACACACACATTATTCACCGGATTAAGACCTCGACGGAAAAGACTTATGAATAAATTCCGAAATAATACGAGCGGATGCTCCCGTATCAATAACACCCTTAGCTCAACACCCTGCACGAACCCAATAACTGCTGATGATCCCGCTGCAGCTGCCACGACATGATGCGCCAACACGGTGCACTGCCCCGCGCCCCGCGGCCAACCGACACCCGCTGAAGTCCGGCGTTCGCATGCCGTGACATGATGATAGATGACGGTGTGAGAACCCGACATGCTCAGAGAGTGAAATGCATGAAGTGAATGTGGCGGCCGAGTGTCCGATGCATCACGACTTGCCTGTGGGCCTGGGGAAACGGAGGTCGACAAGGTGGGAGATGGCGAAGGCAACAAGAACGATCCAGGGTCGGCGCGGCATCCCTTGGAGATGTGGCCCTGCAGGCTGCACTTAAAGCAAGTGACCAGGGACCTCCACGTTGGAGGAGGGGTCCCGCTTCGTCGTTCTCGCTCCTGTCGTTGTCCCACACCATCCTTCCCGTGCGAGCTCCTGACGAACAAAGCGCAGACTTGGACTGGCTCCTGACGCTCCGGCTCGTCCTCGTCCTCCGTGAACCCCGTGCAGGCGGCCACCCCGGGCCACCGCTGTAAGTTGAAATGGGCTTGGATGCATCGGGCTACCTTCAACGATGTCAAGTTGTCCTCCTCCATGGCAGGTAGAGAGACACCCATCTTCTGGGCCAGCGACAGCAAACTCTCCAGCGCCAGAGATTCCAGCGCCGTCTGCTCCATCCGCGGATATGCGGCATGGCCCAGTCACAGCAGCGCGCTGTGAAAGGCCAGGAGCGTCTTGGTCTTCCCCCGTCTTCGCAGCACACATTTCTGACGTGCGTTGGATGGTGGGTCAAAAATAGCAGCTATCTGGGCAGAAGCTTGAGGCAGCGTCGCACTGTCCGCCGTGGGGATGGCATTGAATGCCGCCAGGGAGTCATCATCCAAGGTGGTGGGGAGAGCCCGCAGCGTCGGACCATCCTGTGGGAGCGCAAGCAGCAGTGAAACGGCGCTGAAAAGCAGTCCAGTCGCCCCCCGCAGCCACAAATTCCCCGATTATCGGCAGCCGCTTTTGAAGAGAAGGCACCTCCGGACGAGACGCCGACGGCAAGTCGAATTTAGCGGGAAGCGTTTCCGACCCAGTTGAAAAAATGGCGGCCGAATTTGGCGATCAGCTCATGGCGGGCAAAATGGCGGCTGCTTGCGCAGGCTGGAGCTCCGCCAATTCCTGCACTTGGCCGATGGCGACGGTCATGCTGCCCGGCCGATGCCCCCATGCTGCAGCATCCTTGGCAGGCGCAGCAACCCTGAGCTGGGCAAGCAGCTCCGCTGCAGCAGAGAGCAAGTCCATTAGTAGTACATTGCGCTCGCGCCATCCTTCTCCGGTCGGCGGCAGCGAGGAGTCAATGTCCATCTCATGTTGCTTCGCAGGGATTGCCGCCTCAGGACCAATCTCCGGGCTTCTCAATTCCAGGGCTGTCGGGATCACATCCTCGTCGTCCTCTTAACCCGAGGACACAATAGTTGGAGTCTTCTTCTTGGCCAACTTGGACACACTTAATAAGTATTTAATACTTTTGACTCCAAATGTAGTGGCTGACTCAGAGACACTAAGAGTAGGAGGAACTCTGTTTATTAACAGCCTTAAGAGTTTACATAAAGTAACTATAGCGGCCAGTCAGGACAGCTGGCAGACTGCCTGACTGACGATGCCGAGATTGTGAAGACGTAGACGGCGATGAAGACTCCAGCAGCACGACAGGATCCCACTCCAAACGACAGCCCCGAGCTCCTGCTCGGGGGCCCCCCTTTATCCTCCCAGCGTGGCCTCGCTCTGCCCTGGCCACGCCCCCTTTCTAGAACCTACTAGCGGGTTCCTGGGCTTCCTCACGCGCCCCTTCTGTAACCGATATAACGGGGGGCCCGTGAGGGGCTCGAGGTTCTTCGGGTTGCTGGTGAAGAAGATCCACATCGGGTTAAAGAAGCCTCTAGCCACGCGGTCCGGGATCCAGCTTGTGGTCCGGGCCGGGATCGCGAACCGGGTCTAGTTCTGCCGTAGATGGGCAGTCAACACCCAAGTGTAGGTTGTGTTATGTTATGTTGAGTTGGTGAAATAAATAGTGTTGCTCCCAAGACAACGTCTGCGACTCAGTTTGACTCACTACATATGTATGAACTAAAGTATCCCAACAATGCTAACATGGTTGTGGCGTAGAATGGGCTGGTTATTAAAAATGTTATATAATTCACATGTGTATTGTTTTTTAATGATTTCCAGTGGTTTTTTTGCAGGTGTATTGATAATTGTAATCGGAAGTTTACCTCTCCAATGCCACTGATACTTTTAGTCAACTGCTTGAACTGTTTTGATGATGTAATTACCTACCACTGGAAAATGGTGAATCTATCAGATGTTTATTTTAAAGAGATGACTTCTACAGGTAATTATCTCTGACATTTGTCATTTACAAGTGTTCAAAAATATATACAATTTGATTTCAAAACATAATTTATGGGAATTTTTATTTGTAAATATATGCTTAATATCAGCAAATCGTTATGATTACAGAATGGAAATTAGGTCATAATAAAATACATGAACACATAATACCCTAATTTAATGCATTACAGAACAGTACTTTAAAATATGTTTGTTGACCACAATTATTTACTATCAATATCCCGTGCATTAAAATCCACCCATAATTCTCTAAGCCATCACATGATCCCTTCCATGTTATCATTGCAACTAAGAGCAGCTTTAATATATATTTTTTATATCTAAATAGTAAATGCTTACATATTTAACATTTTAGTGAAGGTAACACACACATTAAGCAAAATATACTAACGATCAGTATTTATACTCTATTAGATATGTGTAAAATTATTTTATTTTCCCTCTCAAGGTATATATAATGAAGGCATAGTGGTTAATGAACACGCTTTGAAAGGAGGAAACACATTCGAAATCAACGTTACGGGTAGAGTCCCAAACAGAAATATGGCAGAAGTCATGTACAGGTTTACAACGAGCCTTTATCCCAGCAATGGCTCCTGTACAAGTGACCCACCAACAGGTATTTTTTGTTTTATCAATGTAAATGTAAATCATTATCCAGTATGGATTACACTTAAACAGTCCATGACCAGGAACAACACGAGTCTCCCACGACTGATTACAGTACCACTACAACATACAACAACATACAACAGCCACATGTAGACTTCCAATGCATTGAGCATGCTTATTGTAATGGAATTAATTCATTTGAATCAAATAATTGGTGACTATCACATGATATTAGTGTTTTCCAGAACAGTATTAAACTGTGCAATTGCTGAGGCATTACAACCAAAACTACAACAGAGTTCATGGAACGTCATGTGAGTGTATTTTCTGCAGGTTTGGCAGGAGTCACATTCTTCAAACTCACATGTGAAAACTGGTCTCAGAAAGGCATCGGAAATAATAAGGTGTTGTACTCATATACAGCGAAGTCGGGCAACGTTGATTACTACCTGCTCAACACCAAGTTGGACAGGTCGCCCAAACTCCTGTTGCCCGCGGGAGATCTGGATCCTCAAGGGCTGCTGGACCTTCAAGTGATCGTGTGCAACCCTTACGGATCCTGTTCGTCGTTCCCAATACCTGTGCATGTGAGTCATTCTCGACGTTTACTCGTTGCAACAAGAGAAAACGCTCGTCTCAAGAAGTTGCTTTCACATTGCAAGGATATGTGTAGTTTGTTTTGCAAGTATTCTTTTAAACGTCATGGAGAACGAAAAAAACAAGCTGTTGGATTGTATTTTGTTTTTGGCCATTAACCATTGTTAAATAATTAATGTATTTTGAACTTCTTTCGCAAGCTGGTAAATGAAACACGTTTGACTGTGGAACATCTCAGTCGTGCCCCTCAGTGCACTCACTACCTACACAAACATCCCCCCTCCCTAACCATCCCTTCCACGCACGACCACCGCCTCAAGTGCTGACTTCCAAAGCTTCCACATTATACCATGCCACCTGACAGTCCTCTGGCAGGCCTATCACGTATCCAACGTCAATGCAGACAGAATGGCAGATCGCCCCCAGACACACGTAACGTAACCCGTCCACACCACCTCACCCTCCTTCCTCCACCCCAAAACCCCTATCTCCGCTCACAATTACTCCACCCACCATGAATACACATGTAATGCGAGCAAGGACAGGGTCACGTGAGTGTGGGCGGAGTCAGGGTCACGTGAGGAGGAGGAGGAGTCAGGGTCACGTGAGGGGGAGGATATAAGGGGAGAACCGGAAGGGGATCGGGAGTGGAGACAGAATAGAGAAGGGAGAGGCCACGCGGAGTGCTGGCGAGGAGTGGCGCGATTGCCACGAGGGTGGAAGTGACGGCACCGTCGGCCAGCGGTGTCGTGTGGCAGCGGGGTGTCTGCAGAGTGTGCGGGAGCACACAGAGCAGCAGGGTGGCTGCGGAGTGTGCGGAGCACACGGGTAGCGGTGTGGCTGCAGAGAGAGAGAGCGGAGGACTCAGACGACGTTCGGAGGCACGAGGCGGAGAAGGTGCGGGTCCGTGCGGAGACATTGCGGGGTGCGAGCAAGAACCCAAATAAAGGACACGGAGAACAACATCGCCTGAGAGTCCTTTATTACACACAGCATGCATAGTATACATCACGAAACAATAACAACACACCTTAAGAAACAGTGGTTGCCAACATTCTACTTCTGGTCTACCCGCTACCAGACCCATCAATTGACCACGTGACCCTAAGTTTTATCTTGAATGAATACATGGGAAAATACTTCTTAAAAATACATATAATTATATGTAATTAACATGTTAGAAGTCTAGTTGACACCTATTAACTTAATAGCTATGAATTGCATCATTACGACTTAAGAATGTATACGTCAATAACACTTTTATAAAGGTACTGCTGTGAAGTTGAGGCCTAATTACTAAATAACTAGCAGGAAGGCTCTCCGGATGTGGGACAATTCTGACATTCAATGTTTTATTTAGTTTACTTGCTCGAGAAAATTGTGATTTTTTTTATATGGTTGCTCGAAGTGGGATTTTGGTCTTCACAGCCACCCGACCCTCACAAATATCCAAACTAGTCCGATTCTTTGTCCGAGGGGGGAAGGGGGGCTAAGCAGAAAGAGGCATGGCCTAAAAAAGGGGCGGGGCTTATAAAGGATAAACGCGAAGCCAAAAGAGGAAAGACCAATGGGGGCCTAACCAGGAAGGAGCGGGGCCTAAAGAGAAATGGGCAGGGCTGATGGAGGTTGACCTTGCCTGTTGAGTGAAGGTAATAAAATCATAGGATAAAATACGTGCACAGGCAGCAGCTTAGCTCGAGTGCGGCAGATGAGGGTGTGGGCGAACTAGTCATCTACTTGTGCGCAAATGTCACGGACACTTTGTGCCCAAATAATAGAGAATAATAGAGTCCATGTGTTTCAAATGAAAAGCTTTTGTTTAAAACTGAATTCTCAGAATTTGGGAATATATTGAGATGGTGATGAATGCCAATTTTATTATTTCCAGGTGACATCTCCTCCACCGGACCAACTGAAAGACAACATCCGCAAGATGCTAGCGCCAGGAGGCGCAATCCAGGAGATTGCAAATACGAGCAGTGGCACTTTGCTTGGGGTCATAGTGACTGCAACGGAGGCTCTAAAGAATGTAGTTAATGAAACAGAAAAAAAAGAGGTAAATTTTTATATAACTTAAGCTGACCGTATATTGTCATAAGTGTGTGCTATGTGTTTTGATGATGAAAAAAACTTTGAAAAATGTAACCTGTTGCATTTCACTATGTATTAAACTCGTGTTTGCGGCTTGTATTCCTTAGCTTATAGCAGAGCTTGCCAAGGAAATATTATCATCCAACGCCAGCATGCAGGATGAAAGTTCAGTTTTGCAATACGCTTTTTCTTTGACTTCCATGGCTCAGAATTCTCAACCTGAAGACCAGGTCTGTACAAGTAGAACAGGTGCAGAAACAGGACATATAATAATTGTATCTGAAATGTCATGATTTTTGCTGATAATTACTTGTTCCCGTATAGGCTGTCTTCTTAAATGCCGAAATATATTTTTTGAAAAAGATCAGTTCCATGAAAAACATTGGGAAAATTGCTCTTCTGCAGACCATTGAAGGTGCTTTTCATGCATTCAACATGTTTAATGCTATTCAAATTGTTGACATGAATAATACGTAAAACTTGTAAGTTGTATACATTTATTTAAAGATGACTTTAATTGCAATCATATTAGATTGTGAAAATAATGTTTTACCTGACTTTTGTCATTTATATTTCACAGAGATGGTTAGAATCAGTGCAAATGCATTTCAGGCACATTTGAATTCCCAAGATGACATTAACAGCACATTGTCATCTTTGGCTAAAAATGATTCATATTTGGTAAGTCTTTTCATAAGTCAAGTTCAATAGCACAATGTCACCAGAAGCCCCAAACCCCTGCTTGTATTTATTAAACTCTTTGTACCCTGTTACTGTAGAAATACAATGTGTTATCTCCATTATATTTTATTTTACAGTACTGCATTCCCATCCACACCGATTATACATTTGTGTGTTGATTATCACACCTTCATTTCATATGAAATATCAGTGGCATATACTCTTATCTCTGTCAGTCTTGTTTAATGTCCAAGTCTCGTCGGCATACAAAGCTGTACTGAACATGCAAGTTCTTAAGATGTTCAGTTTGGTTTTGCAGCTGATTTGTTATTGAATCCTGACATTACTCCTTTTGCCTTTGCGATCCTCGCTCTTATGTCTTTTGTGCAGTCGTTGTCCTATCTCAGTAGACTTTTCAAGTATACAAATTCCTTTACATTCACAATCTTGCTACTTTCTATTACTCCTTTCTCAATGTCCTCCCTTCCGAACACCATCGTATTTGTCTTTTCCACGTTAATCCTCAGTCCTGCTTCCTTTCCTAACTTATTCTTATTCATTTGAAGTCATCTCCACTCGACGTGCTCCCAGGTTGCTTGTTCAAGCAATGTGCTCCAGAACTCGCCATCATGATCAGGAAAATCGCAAATGCCTCCTTCTCTACGGGGTGTTTTCCGTCCAACCTCAAACCTGGCCTGGTTTCTCCCTTGTTAAAGAAACCAAGTCTAGACCCGGATGACCCATCTAGTTATCGTCCCATCAGTAACCTCTCGAACCTCTCTAAACTCCTTGAACGACTAGCCCTCGCCCAGCTAAAACCACACATCACCTCCTCCGCAAACTACTGCTGCTTCCAGTCAGCTTACCATCAAAACTATTCCACAGAAACAGCACTCACTAGAGTGCTCGATGACATTTTAACGATCATTGATTCCGGCTCAACTGTTGCACTTGTAAGTCTGGACATTTCGTCAGCCTTCGACACCATCAACCATTCGCTCCTTACTTCCCTCCTGAAATCTGACTTCGGTATATGCGGCTCAGCACTCAAGTGGATAGTTTCGTACCTTTCTGACCGGCAATCTTCAGTCAGGGTGGACATGTCCACATCGCCTGAAACAATAGCATTATGCGGGGTTCCCCAGGGCTCTGTACTAGGTCCCCTGCTCTTCACAGCCTACACTTCCCCGATCGGCCGGCTCATCGCAAGCTTCGGTGTTAAGCATCACTCATACGCGGATGACACGATTCTATTCACCGCCATCGATTCTAGCAATGCATCTGGACTCGAGAGGCTCTCGGAATGTACCACCGCCGTGCAACAATGGTTCACTGCACACAACCTAGCCCTTAATCCGAAAAAAATCAGTGGCCATCATGTTAGGTACCAAGCAACGTCTCAATTCAGCAGCACTCCCCACACACATACACATCGTCGGTCACAGCATCAAGTTCACCGACCACTTCAGCTACCTCGGTGTCATCCTAGATTCAACTTTATCATTCGACCGTCAAACCAACCATATCATCAGCTCATGTAACTTTCACCTGAAGGCTCTTAGACACATACGTCCTCTCATCTCTACTGAAATTTCCAACACATTGGCATGTTGCATAGTTGGGTCTCGCCTTGACTACTGCAACTCCGTCCTAGTCCGGACCTCCGCTGGCAACCTAAAGAAACTTCAAAGACTACAAAACAACCTAGCACGCGTCGTCATTGCCCACACTCATCCCCGTCTCGACTCACTAGCTTGTCTCCGTGCTCTCAACTGGCTACCCATCGCCAGTAGGGTCACATACAAGACCGCCTGCCTCTGCCACAATGCCTTCATATCCGCCTGCCCGCCATACCTTTCTTCATTATTGATGATGTAGAGGTGTAATTATGCATGGGCACGGATGGATAACAAACACAAGGGGCGTGGTTAGAGCCGTACACAGAGGAGGTGCTCACACCGACGTCCGCACTCATCCCCCACGGGCCCCTCCCGGGGGGGCCGAGTACTATAAAAGGTGGTGAGCCGGAGGGCTCGAGGTCGGGTATTAGCTTAAACCAGCGAAGACGGAAGACCAGCTAGAATAGGCCCCGGAACTCCCCTGGCTCGCTGTCCTTGTCAGGGCCGACCAGGGCAAGCCGGTGGCGTGGCCCCGAGAGCCCAGACTGACGTTCTTATAAGAGCCGGTCTGGATACTCAGGGTGCCGGGATCCCAGCTTGAACAGGGCTGGGATAGGTAGCCTCCCCTAGCTCCGTAGTGGAGGACTCGGGCGTAGGTTAGCGGGGTTAGATGTTGTGTCTCCCTGTAGCCGAGTGAAGGGGACGATACCCCCTTAAGTACTGTGTGTACCCGTTACTGTGCACAAGTTGGTGTAATAAATAAGTGTGCCTCCGACCCTGTCGTCAAGCCTCCTACATACTTACTACATCTGGCGTCAGAAGTAAAACGTTCAACGATGGACACACGAGGGACGACACGTACCAGGGAGTCGGAGATAGAAGACGCCACGGCCGAATCACCACCAGAGATGGCCGGGGTCGGATCGGAGCAGCCGGGGCCGAGTACGCCCGCGCTGCTACGACAGGAAGGGGGGGATGCGTCGGCCGAGGGACTCCGGCTGGCTCACTCCCGCCTGGCGGAGCTGCTCTACGCCGCGGCCGCCGCGTTGGAGGAGATCACGCGGCTGGGGGCTGGAGGGGCTGCGCGGGACGAAGACAGCAGCCGACGCGCGGCGACGTTTCCCGCCACCCCGACGCGGCTCGCGGTTAAATTTCCCGCCATCACTACAGTGCGAGCAGAGGGCGGGGTCGGCCCGCGTCAGGTGACTGCTGAGGGCCAAGCACAAGCCGTGACATCATCAACACCGGCCAGCGCGTCAACAACGGAGCGACCGGCGATGCCATGCTCGCAGCCCGCCCACACTGTAACATCTGCTGGGGACGACGGAGCGCGATCCGCAGCCACGGACGTCGCGTTACAGCAGCGTCTGCCGCCTCTCAAAGAATTCGTGGGCGCGGACGGAGACTGGGGTGGCTTCAGGAGACGGTTCATCGCTCATCAGGAGATGGCGAACTGGACGGACGCCGAAGCACTACGCGCGCTGCCAGCGATGCTGGACAACGACGCCCTGGCTACACTCACCTCGGCGCCTAAGGAAAAGCGTGCCACGCTGCACTTGGCGCTGCAGCTGCTGTCAGCTGTCTATAGCCCGCCTTCGGACTGCAGGCAGCTATTCCACGATCGTCATCGGGGCGCCAACGAATCGCCCCTGGCCTTCCGGACTGCTCTCTTGGCCCTGGCGAAGGCTGCTTTCCCGCGGATGGACAAAGAGGGAGTGGACGCTATGGTGGCTGAAAAGCTGCTGCTACTCGCTGATGAGCTGGACGTCAACGTCCTGGCTCAAGACGACGCAGAGATGTCGTCCTTGCTGGTCGCGCGCCACATCCACGGGGGCTTGCGGTCCCTGCGTCGCAAGGCCGCCAAGGGGGTGGCCGGCCATGCCATGGCGGCCACCACCCTCCCATCGGAGGAGGTCTGCGGGGTGGAGCGGCGGGGGGAATGGAGATCGGCGGCACCACAGGCTCGGAACGGACCGAGCCGCCAGGAGCAGCCCAGGCCATCTGGGGCGCTCACACGGTGCTACAACTGTGGCCTTCAAGGCCACGTTGCGTCAGGGTGCCGGGCTCCCCGTCAGCGCGGGGCGACACCTCGTCAGGACGCCGTGCCGTCTCCACCCAAGCTCCAGCAGAGAAATACGGCGAATCGTGGCACCTCACACGTTTGGCCCATGCACACATCCGACACACACTCACGCGCTGAAACGAACAGGGTTCGAAAATCGACGGCCGTTGCGTCGGATTATTCTGAAATGCGGCGAGCGCTCCAACCGGGTCAGTGGTCGGAGCTCGCCCATCGTGTCGTTGCAGCGTCGGCGGGATCGTCGGTCGTGGTCGGTCATATTGATGGGGTAGAGGTGCGGATTTTAATTGACACAGGGGCATCGGCGACCATTATATCTGATTTAATTTATAACATCCTTCCTGTTCAAAGTCGTCCCTTGCTCCCCGTTGACGTGCCATGCTATGCCGCTAACGGGGGCTCGCTGGGCATCTTTGGGCAAATCCGCGCCAAAATTTGCATTGGAGACATTAAATTATCCGGGCCTGTTTTGGTTTCCTCCTCACTCGCCGTTCCGTGCCTGTTGGGGACGGATTTCTTGGCCAAAATGCCCATTCGTATCTTGATTGACCAAGGGTGCATCGAGCTCCCGTCGGGTCGACGTGTTACATTTTTGTCTTCCCCCGCCACGGAGCGTCGGCCGTTTGCCACCGTGCAGGCGCTCGTGACAAAAACTGTGCGCGTACCCCCGGGTGCTCAGATGCTCGTCCCTCTTAGGTTGCGTCGGCCGTTTGCCGAAGGGGTTGCGGATCGGGGGGTCTTGTTGGGACCATCTCAGGCCGGGGTCAATGGACCCGATTTGCTAGCGGCTCAGACCATGGTGAAAGGGGATGGGGACCCCTTCATTGCAGTCCTTAATGTAGGATCGCGAACGGCCGTGGTTCCTCAAGGGACCGTGCTTGCACACGCAACGCCGGTACCCTATGAGGAACCACTCGTGGGTCAGGTAAGCACCGATCCTCCGTCGCGACCGCATTCGGACTGTGATGACGGATGGCTGGATGCGCTTTGCGCGGGATCAGTGGACCTGTCCGACTCGCAGCGTGCGCAGCTGCGAGTTCTCCTGAACGAATTTGCCGACGTTTTCAGTCAACACAAATTTGATATTGGTTGTACTAAATTGCTGCGACACCATATTGACACGGGTGACAGCGCGCCAATCCGCCAAAATCCCTTTCGGTTGAGTCCCGCCGAAAAGGATCATGTCAAATCGGCCGTTGATGACATGCTAGCCGCCGATATCATTTCCCCTTCCAACAGCCCGTGGGGCGCGCCGATCGTTTTGGTGAAAAAGCACGACGGCTCACTGAGGTTTTGTGTCA